AAAAACTGCTAAATGAATGGCAGAAACATATTATATTTTGGCTTTATTACTAGAATTATGCTTTTTTTTCCTTTTGAAAAATGTCTTTACCATTCAGTACAGAAATTTTACAAGAATTTTTTCTTCGTGGGACTAAAACTAGCACCCTTTAATCAAAATTATGATTTCGATGCTTCTGATATCGGGAGCTATTAATGCATTTCTGGAATTTTTTGCAGCCAATTATAAAATTCACTCATTATTCAATTTTCTGTAAGTTATATTTTTTGATCTGCTCCAGCAAAGTTTTCCCTAAAATGTTCTGTCGAAAAAAATAATTTTCTTAAGACTGTATAAAGTAAAAATTTTGGAAGAAACTCTTATCCCAAAACTCTAGATAAGTATAAATCTGCTTAGTATTAAATCAAATACATTTATCAATTTAATTTTATTATTTTTCAATTTAACTTTTCACTTCAATTAACTTCTTTTTGACTTCCTTCATAACCTTTATATTATGAAATAATTATTCAGATATAAATATTACTCAATTAATTCAGAAAAATTCAAAGAACAATCATAGAAGCATTATAATGCAGTAATAAAACTTGTTTATGGCTAGTTAATCCTTTAAATCTGTTTTTATAAATGTTTTTTTTTTCAGAATTAGACTAGTTTTTTAAATTTCAGTTTCTATACTAAAGATCTAATTTTAAATCTAGAAAGTTCATTTCTAGTAATATCTTGCATAGTTAAAATTCCAAACAATTCTCCGGTTTTACAAACAGTAGTGAAGCAAGTGACTTTACATTGGGCTAACCATGGCAAATCTTTGAGAGTTAGGTAAATTTACTCATGAACTTTGCTTCAATAACTGAATCAGTAGTTTCTTTGTTTTCTGAATTAGATTCAAACAACAAAGAAAACCATTTTAAAGTGAGAAAGAAAGTTAAGTTTTCAGGCTGAAAAAATGAAAAAATCTTTATTTAAAATTTTTTATATGATGGAAAAGTTAGCATCTGAACGTTTAATATACTCATTATATTGATGAGTTGTTAATAGCTGGTTTTAAGGTAAAATGAATATATTTTTAAGAACTAAATATTCTTGATATGATTGCAATGCTTTGTTTTACAATATTTTAAAATTAAATTTTTCCAAATTTTTTTTTAAAAAATTTTTTGAAAAAGAAGATTTTTAAAACGTAATTTAGTTTAACTAATCTGCTTACTGATAGTAGTAAGTATTATAGTTTTATTTTATTACACCAAAAGTACTGCTGGAATCTTTGCATAATAATTGTAAAAGTTTATTTATACTGTATTTACCAGATAATTTATTAATACATTTTTTATATGGCGAATATCACTCTGAAAGTTTTGAGATACACCTAGGTTTTTAAAGCTGTACTTATGAAAGTTTAATAGTTTTGAAAGTAGTCTTCTCTATTATCAATGCACTGTTGTAGACAAATTTTCTAAAAATTAAATGCCTCAAACCATTCATTTCCTGGAATCAGTGAGAGAAATGCATTTATAATCGCGTTCTTTTTCGGAACGAAAACGACGTGCACGTAAATTCTTTTAAATATTAAAAAATAGCAAGAAATTAGACATAGAATTAGGTAGCTAGAATTTCCAAATGCTAATTGTAGTTGTTGAAAGCATTCTTCATGCTTTAATCCCGCTTTAAAATTATAGAAAATCATAGCATGATTACGTTCTCGTACAAGCTCCGTTTTCTCTTCTGTGTAAAATTTATTCTATGCTAAACAGCTACAAACTAAGTAAAAATAATCTCATCTGCTTTATTCTGAAATCGTTTGAATTTTCAAATTAAGCCTTTATTTATTTATTTTTATTTGCTATTTCTCTTCTGCTCGTATATCAAAAATCTTAGAGTGAGTATATATTTTTATTTGTAAATTTTGCTAAAAATAATCTGAAAGTAAAAATATTATATAAGCAAATAGATAGTTATAAGAAGCGTAATCTAGAATTATTATTCTATTGCTGTTCTTAGTGATTATTTTTACCATGTCAAATGCATAGCTAAGCTCTTTGTAAGTAACATGATCATAAAAGTTGGCAAGGTGATTTAGAAATCTCATTCTTCCAAATGTATTTACCGGACTGTTTATTTACACCTATTACGCTGAACAAAGCTTCTGATTCCCGTTGTGATGAGCACAATTCTGTATCGATCGCCGAAGGACTATTCTACGCCAATGACCTGATTTTGGCGAACAACTTATCAGTAGGATTTGCTTGTGAAAATAATGATCGTTTTACTTGCAGCTGGTAGCATGAAAATAGGTCCTTATATATTCCTAGTAGAAAGTGATTACGTTAAATAGACAGAAATCTTTCAATTTACCGCCTAACTTTGAAACTTTCTCCAGCAGTGTTTGATAAGAAGTTTTAGAATTTGGCGACAGTTGGTTTTAAAGTAATTTGTGAAAGGCAATTCAAGTTTGAATTGGTTATTGGAGATCGGTAATAGGTTTTGCTTTCAAAACATAGCTTAGAAAATCTTCTTTCAATAAAGGATGTGGTATTTTTCCTGGAACCATATTTTCTCTGCACATTTGAATTAATATGATAAATAACAATTTTGTTTTTTAATGAAGAATAAATTTACACACAATGCATGAAGTAATACTGTTTAGACATTTCTACCGAAAAATATAGTAATTAAACGACAACGAATTATTTCATCATCTTTGAAAGTTAGAAAATTAAACAAAAAGTATTGTCATTATGAAATTATTTTCTTATGCAATTATACTCTTTCTTTTCTTACTTGCTTTAAATCTTTTATAAAATGGGAGTAAATTTTACCATAAAAGTGAATAGTTTGTGAAGACAGTGAACTTGTACATTATTAAAGAATCGAAAACTAGAACTAAAAGTTCTCATATCAAATGTAAGTGCAAGAATTTTCCAAAATTTTTAATTGAGAAGCATTTTTAAAAGCCTTTTTCTTGCTTTAAATTTTCTCTGGTATAGAACAAAAATGTATTAAAAAACCAAGAGTATAATAAGTAAAACTACAAATTTGTTTATTTAAAAAAAAAACTATTTTGTCAATATTATTGAATAAAATCGTGACACTCAAACAAGAACATACTGGTGGTTAAAAGCATTTAAATATTAATTTTAATGTGTACTAATAAATTATTTATGACATGCTTCATTGCATATAACTTTTTATGTTTCATTTCATGAAGTTTCAGCTGTAAGTAATTCTTTATTAAATCGAAATGCTTTTCTTCCTTCTTATTCCTTACACTTTCTCCTAATTTTAGAATCGTTTGAGCGTTTTCGAAATAATTATAATTCAAAAAAACATTTTGTTAAATATTTGTATCATAATTCAATAATATTAAAACGGAATATAAGTAATTATACATTTAGTAACAATAAAATAGCATTTCTCAATTTATTTATTAAAATGTTTAAAGTTTGATGTAAGTTTAAAAAAATCTGATTGCAAATAACGGAATACAACAAATATATTAACATTATTAGTAAAAATAATGAATAATAAAAGAAAAATCAATGAATTCATTTAAGAAAAATAGGTTTTCTTGTATTTTTCGCGTTTTGAAACATTAAAAATTAAAAATTAGCGCTAAATAACTTTGAGTTATCACCAAACTTTTATTCATGCAGCTTAAAGCAACATACTTCAAAATCATTTATTAAACAATTCATCCATGAACCTCAGTCATGGTGGCGAACATAACCCACGCAACACTGTCACAGATGCCCATTCACAGGGTGAGGCAGATTTATACATTATTATACAACAGGATACAAGCCCACAGAAAGAGAGAGACATTCATGCTTCAAAAGGGATTCGACCCCACTACCATTGGCTTAGCAGACAAACACATTGACCGCGCAGCAATCTGGTTGGTCAGTCATTTATGCAATGCACGTATTACGTTACCGAGTTATGCATAACTGTTTTAAATGTACTGTAGAGGGCCGATTATCCGAACCCTTATTATCCGAGCGTCCAATTATCCGAACTTTGTCTGAATTCGTTTTTTTTTTAAAGTTTAGAATACTTTTTAACTTGTCAAAAAAAATTTTTAAATTTCTTAACTAGTAGATCTTCCGGATGAAAAGATGCCAGGTTATGCAGCATAAGAAATAGAATACTGGTGTCGAGACACTGAAAACATTCCACGATTTCAAATTTCAAATGATGATGAAATTGTTACTGAAATTTTGAATGAATATCGGTTCTCCACAGACGAAGAGGAAGATCAAGTTCAACATAATGGACCTTATCACATAGAAGCATGCAATTTATTAGATATTGCAATGAATTGGCTAGAACGTCAAAATGATGTTGATCCAGTTCAGTTGATTTATTTAAAAGGAATGAGGGATATGGCTGCTCAAAAAAGAGCGTCATCTTTGAAGCAAAAGTCTTTGCTGGATTTTTTTGCAATGGAAAATAAAGAAAAATGCGTTAAAATCAGTAATTGACAAAAAAATTATAAAAAGCTGAAATTTGATAAAAAAAATTCAAAATGAAAAAAAGTTTTAAAAAAAATATTGAAAAATTGAAAAAAAAAAACAAAAAAAACTTTTAAATAGAGCTATTTTAGATCGTACTGCTAGTCCCCTAAACATGGAAAAAGTGTGGGGGGAAGTTAGTGTATAAATAATAATCATTTAAACTAGATTTTAAACAACTTTCCAGTTATCCGAACTTTTTATTATCCGAACCACGTTCAGTTCCTACTGTATTTCCTTGATGAGCCTTGATGAGCTTGAATATTCCTTGATGAGCTATGTTTCTATCAATGAGTAAAAAAATGAAGTATGAAACTTAAATATAAACATATTAAAACAAATGTGGTCTATAATGTGTGTTTGGGATTGCTTTTTGCTATAACCACTGAATTAATTTTCTGTAATGTTCAAAGTAACTTATATTGACAGCAATTTTTTTTTATTTTTTTGTTGAATTAACGTATGTTAATTTTTTGTTCTGTTTTCCAGAAACCGCTCAATATACAATCCTATAGCATATCTCCAGATCGCAAATTCGTCTTATTATCACATGATCATGAACAGGTAAGACTTGTTATTTTAAATATAAAAATTTAACAAAATATAAGAATAACTTTAAGCATTTTTACGTGTGCAGAAAAATATGTGTAGCGAGAAAATGTATAGAATTTCAGAAATTTTTTTTCTCAGCTAAATATAGCGTTTGGCAAACATATTTTTATAATGCATATTTTTTCAAAAAAAAATTACATTAATTTTAAAATGCTTTTTAAACTAAATGCTGCAGTTATATTTCTTCTTTAAATAAGCTTAATAAAAATAATCTTGATAAATAAGCTTAATAAGTAAAAATAAGCTTTATAATTTAAAATATTTTGCTCACTAAAAAAAAACTTATTATTTTGAAAGCTAAACGTTCAACCTCTCTTCTAGATTTTAGAAATAGATTGGAGAAAATTTCGAACACTTTTAAAATATACATCGAAAAAAATAGAGCAGTAAGGATTTATTAATAGCCTCTAATATTGTTAGCTAATGATTAACAGCATATACCTATTTCTAATTTTTGTTGCCAATAATGAAATAAATTTGCAAAAAAAGTTCTAAGAAATTGTTTCATAATTTTAAGCTCAAATGCGATTCCAAGAATGTTTTCAGGTCACATGTCTGTACTGCTTTCAAAAATGTGAGAACCAGAGAATTGAATCAGCTTCTCAACATCTAGTTTGTTTCCAATCGTTTCTAATACTTTACGTCCGCTAATTTTGGACTCTTTTCTGTTTGGAAAAAATTATTAATACATATTAATATATAAAATGGATGTCAGCTATAAGTCTACACATCTAATAAAAAACTTTATAGACAAAATACTGTAAATTTACTTGCGCTTAAATGTTTAAAATAAAATTAAGCCTCATAGTTTAAAAACTACATTTTTTCTCCTATTTCATAACAGTACATTTTATAAAACGTTCAATCTTTAATTTTAATTTTATTTGGATAGAAAAATAATTAAAAAAAATCAAATATACATGTAATAAGACAGCAAAAATTTAAAAATAGCATTTTTAGTTAGCATATCATAATGGTTAGAATTCGACAGTGGACAAAACATTTCCCATTTTTCTGAACTAATGAAACAAAGTTTTACAAAAATTGCTGAAAAACTACTGAAACTTTTTAAACACTTACACAAATTTAATTAGCCCAAAATTAATTAGCCATAGGTTAATATTCGTCATAAAAATATTCGTAAAAATATTGGTAATTTTGATAGTATTCGTCACTGTGCAAAAATGTCGCCAAATTGGCATCTTTTGAAAAAGTTAAATAAATACTAATTAATATTCCTTCATTCTAAAGCCCAGGAATGACATATATAGTTTAAAATAATGGCTTTGCCTCACATGCAAGGCACTGAAACAGTTTAAAAGTAAAATGTTTCAATACTAATACAAGTGCACTTTTCTTACATACTTCAGCTAATAATATACACTAATCTAAACGTACATTTTATTAACTAAAAGTTCAATATTTAGCTATGAATAATGGTATTAAAAAAATGGTTCCAAAAATTAGAACTATATCTATTAACATAAAGCTGTAAAACTTTTTAAATAAATTATTTTATAGATAAATATTAATTTACTTCTGATTTTCGCGAAGTAATAAAATAAAGCTACTAATACGTTTCTTCAAAAATATTTTATAATTCTAAACGCAATTGCAAGCACCAAAAGAATTGAATTAACTTCCCAAGGTTTAATTCAATTTCGAATGTTTCTTCTAAGATTCGATATACAATAATTTAAGAGTGTTTTCGGTTTAGAAGGGAAAAAAAACGTTTTATATTTCATAAGAAAAGCTCTCTTTTATATTTCTAAGAACACCATAAAATTCGATTGCATTAGTTATTCCCTGAAGAATTTTATCCCTTTTTGTACAAATCCTTCAACAACAGATATTAAAGTTTTCTTATAATGGAATTTTCCAGTCGTCGTTTAAGACGTAAACGGTTTAAAGTTGCCGAATGGTTTTATTTGAGAGACCATTTTATTGGCTTTAGATATTATGTATTGTTTCAAATTGAAGTTTTGGGTTTTGTTTAAAGACATATAATCTTGGAAAAATAATTAAATTATTTAGTGTTATATTTATAGTGATATTCTACTAGCAAACACATGTTAATGGTTGAAAGCGTAAATTATTGATTCTATTTTTAAACTATTCAAATGCCAAAGTGTTTTAGATTATGAGATACAATTGTTTCTGCTGCGAATACAATTAAATAGGATATCATAAAAAACATTTTTTTCCTTAGTAAATCCAATGTATAGCTTTTGTTCAAAATTAAATATATAAAATAAAATTTTCAACTCAACGCTTGCTATAAACGGTTTTTTATAGACTGATTTTATTTAAGTGACCACTTCATTGATTCTAAGATATTTTATTTTGTTTAAAAACTACGAAATTGAATTTTATATTTCATGTGAAATTATATAATCTTGTAAAAATAGTTAAATATTGAGTGCTTAATATATTGCTTACAGTGTTATTCTATTTAATGACCTATGTTACTCTTTGTTAGCACAAATATGATATGATTGCTTGTAATTTAAACTATATAAAAGTAAAACTTGTTTGGAATATAAAATTTTTCTCAATTTTTCCTATTATAGTGTCAAAAGATGTTTTTTTTTACCTTCTTTAATTCATTTTCTCTGCTCTGTTCAAAATAAAATCTATACTGAAGTTTGTTACGTCATCATAATATTAACTTCATCATATTTTAAATAATCACAAAATAATAAATAAAGGTTTGTTTTTTAGAAATTGCTTATCATTTAAAAATTATTATTAAACATTTATTAAAAAGTAATTAAGAACAGATAACATTATACTTTTTATGTTTAACCAAAATATCTGATTTAATAACTAATCAAAAATTACGTACAAAAACCATTATACTTTTAATATTTAAGTCAAAATATGCCAAGCCAAAACTTTTTATGAAATAAATTCACATAAAAACGAAATGCGAAGACTAAACTGTACGTAATAAGGTTCGGTTTTTTTAAACCATAGTTTTTCATATTTGTTTTCAAGTTATTGAGTTCAGTAAAAATATACCCATCTTACTTTTCGTATAAAAATGTTTTAATTTGGTAAAAAATCTTTTAAAAAAATCCCTAAATTGATCTTACCCTAAAACCCTAAGTTGTGCAAAGCTTGGGTTACAGAAACAGTTAAAAAATAATATATTCGAACTAAACAATATGTTTGAAAAGTTAAGTAGAAAAGTATCTCTTTTTACGTGTAAAATAAGAATTCTGTAAAAAGACTTTTTAAAAAAAACTCTAAATTGGTCTACAAAAAATAACTAGTCGAAATATGAGTACAGCTTGGGTTACAGATGCATTGAAAAAACAATATACTTGAACTAAGAAAGCAAAATAATAAGATCTAATTGCGCGATATCTACTAAAATTGGCATATAAATATGATATGAATTAATTTATAAATCAATTTGTATCATATTTATATGGTATATTATATACTTATATTTAATTTGTATCATATTTATATGATATATCATATACTTATATTCAATTTGTATCATATTTACATGCTATATTATATACTTATATTCAATTTGTATCATATTTATATGCTATATTATATACTTATATTCAATTTGTATCATATTTATACAAGAATATTTAAATGAATGATAAGAAGCATTCAAAAAATATTGTAGTGATGATACTAAATCAAGGGGAGTCTGTAGAATAATCAGAGTTTAAGGGGAGTATCAACAATGCTGAACCTGACCTCAATGTACCTTTTCTAATAAACTACTTAAGATATCACTTTGAAATTTTTGGGTATATTTCAGATTATATCAGTTGTATGCTGTAAAAATGTTTCAGCATTAACAGGAATACATTATTAATTATGAACGATTTTTACTCAAAAATTATGAAACTTTTTAAGAAATTAAAAATTTTTAGTTCATATTTTTTTTGAATAATTTCTGCCACAGAAATGTATTAAAAGTTGTCACAGTGTAAACATGCATATGCAAATATTCTGTGAAAAAAAACTGTTGCAATATCTTGTTTAGATGCTGACAATGAAAAAAAAATCAACACATATTTTTTTTCATATTACGATGAATCAACAAAATGTTTTTGTTTCCTTTTCTTTTTGAGACAGATTAACTCCGTTTAATAAAGTTTTTACATACTAAAACATCCGAAAAGAACAGCGTTATATTTTATCAGTTTGACAAGTACAATGCGCTACATTTTTGGTATAAATCGGCTAAATCGTAATACAACTATTCCTTTATTATTCCTTTATTTTCATTTCTTTATTTTTAGTAGAATTGTCCTTTTCATTTATACTTTTGTCTTAATTAAAAATGTGATTATTTACTTACTTTTTAAAGTAAAAATAATATTTTATTTACTGTGTACCAACCAAAACTTTTATCTCATTTTCCTGTTTGCAACTCTTGTTATGAGTTTTGCAAACCAGTGCTTACTTTGTCATTAAATAGTAATGAAGACATAAAATAGGGCTTTTATCTATCTTTCCAACATCCGACAATCTTTTTATTTTCAGTTCTTTCTATTTATAAATTTTTAATTTTGCTTATTGGTTCTCTTTCCTTTTCCGCCACATTTCTACTGAAGAATTAATTCCTTTTTTATTAGAAAGCTACATTTCGCTGTACTTTTTATTTCTCAGATAACTGCTAAAGGTGTAAGAAAAACAATTTTTGAATTTGTATGAAAGGTGTTCTATAAAGCCACCCTTAATTTATATAGTTTTAAAACTCTCGTCAAAAATTTTAAAAAAGAATATTTAAGTAATGAAATAATGCTATCGAATTCCTATTAATAACTGTCAAGAAAATAGGGAGCACAAATAATTTAAACTTACTTTATTAATGGGAAAAAAATACAAAAGAATTGAAAAGCGATTATTTGATGCGTTTTGCACCTGTATTCTTTATATACGATTTATCAAGTTTTCTCAGAATCTTCGTTTTTCTCAGCTTAATATTAATTTTCGACCTTTAATATAAATACTTTTGTTCTAAAATATACATTAAGACCTGTAATTATAAAATAAATTAAAAGTAAAATCCCATGCAAATATTTTGAGCTGAAAGGAGTTTGAGATTTAATTTATCTAAGCCATACTATCATAAAACATACTTAAATACGCCATAAAATAATAATGGGTATAACTAAAAGAATTGTATATCTGTTATAAGGATATTGTATATCTGTTATAAAGGATAATTTACAATGCTAATAAATAAAATCGAAACAAAAGATAAGATTTAAGAAAATTCTAACTTAAATTTTAATATATATACTTTGCTTTATATGAGTTAGTGTGTAATTACAGTTAATATTCTCGTTCTATATTACTAGGCGAACAATTACTATTACTTCAATTTTCATCAACTCTAAAAGCTTTTCAATTATTTGAATTTAATTAATAATTTCTCTAATTTTATTCTGCACTATTTGAACTCTTTTCTTACTGTTATATGTTTTTAAAAATTGAAATGTTTGAATTTTCTCTAATTTTAAATGTTAAAATAATTTAATTTTGACGTGTTTTATCTTTCGCAGGTATTTAAACATTCCTTCACCGCTCAGTACAAAGTCTTCATTGTTGAAACTGAGTAAGTCTTACATATAATACTATTTAAAAGTATTAAATATTTATTAATTCATAATTAAAGAGAGAAAATTAATTCATAATTTTAATTAATTTTTTGCTTATTCACTGATTTATATTTAAATTATAAAATAACATGCATAATTAGATAATTTTCGAAGCAGTTTGTAAATTTAGGGCGTATCTTAAATTAATTCTTTAAATAAGGTAATAAAACTTTTGAAAAAGTGCCAAATTCATTAAAGCTACAGCTATATAGCTATAGATATAGCTATAGCGTATTATAATATTGAATTGTTTAGCGCAAATGTTTCTAACAAAATCTAAATATTCCCTATAATTGTGATTTTTCAAATATTTCTTAGCTGTATCGAAATATTTCTATTTTTATGCGGAATATATATTTTACGGTAATGAAAACATTCCTGATAAATTCTGAATATTTCTTTTCAGAGAATTGCAGCCTTTCTTAAGTGATATGCCCAATGCAGTCTTTCAGTATGTTGCGTGGGGAAGTACGGGTAGTCAAATGGTAATATACTTGTTCTACTTTTTTAGACTTGTTATTAGTCAGATAATTTTCCTTTTAAAATTAATTTTAAGATAATATTATCTATAGTAAAATAAGACTAAAGTATATGCTATAAAAACACATCGTATTAAATAAAATAATCCCAGAAAACTAAAGCAGTAGTACATTACTTGATTAAAAGCTCTACTCGCTTCAAAATTATATAAATAAGAAATCCCAGTCGACATACTTCAAGTACTCAAAAATAAGCGTCCATTTTGAAGACTTCCACACATGAATGCCTACTCTCCAAAATTATTTCACTTCAGTCACATCAGCTTATCTTGATGCCTTAGAATCTTGTTTTATTCATATAAATGCTGATTCCTTTTTTATGAACATTATCCCCTCACTAACTCTCCATAGCGCGTGGAAATGCATTTTCTCAGGATTTGCCTCTCCCAGCCACTGTGGTTTTTCTAGTTTTGCTTCTAACCTTTATTTTTCCAATTTTTTTATTGGCAACAATTACATTTTAAATTTCAAATTACTTATTTTTTCATTCACGTCTGGAAGTCTTGAAAATGCCAGTCTGTTTTTGAGCTCTTGAAACATGTCAATTGTTATTTTCTACTTATATATTCTTGAGACGTATGAAGTTTTCAAGTAAGACACTTCTTTCTTATATCAAGAGCTTGTAAGTTTTATTCAAAAATAACATAAAATAAAAGAAATAGTTGTGATTTAAAGTTTATCTTATATTTATTTTGGAGATTAATTAATTTACATTTAGTGTTCATTAATTTAAATTTTGCCAAGGGTTAAAATCAGTAATCATAAACGTAAACATATCTATGCAAAATGCTGAAAACTAAATCCACTGTCATTTTCTTTTTCAAATATAACAAAACAAAAAAAACAAAAATATTAAATACTTTATATATTAAATATTTGTAAAATGTATTAAATTTTTTTTTACTTTTATTAATATTACAATGTTAAATATTTTCGAAAGTAAATGCTAGCTATTATTGATTGAAAGTAACTTGAATTACGAGAAGCTTTTGTGTTTTAAAATGTCATCGATTTATACTTCTTTATATATTTTATTTGTAGATAAATTAATTTTATAGTTAGTATTAATTAAGTTAGTGCTAATGATAAAATCAGTGTTAATTGACATAAACAACTGTATCTAATATGATGTTAATTACATTTATCTACTTTTTCAAATATGTTGAAAAAGACAGTCAAAACAAATAAACAAAAAAAATTTTTAAAAAAATCAATGCTAACTACTTTATATAAAATTATTTTTGTACACTTAAAGAACTTTTCTAAGAAATATTTTTATAATATAAGTATATTTAAAGACGTATAGTTTTTTAAAATAATGATTTCTTTAAAACATTAATTTCTTAGTTGGAACGAAAATTGAAAAGAAAAAAAATCTAGCTTAATTTTTTTTTCAAAATAAAAATTTATATAAAAGACTTCATAAAAGATAGCTTTTAATATTTCAGCAGAAAAAAGAAGAAAAAAACTGCACAATAAATCTCTTTTAAAAAAATTTCAGTTAATTTTGACAAAAAAATGGCTATTACATGAACTATTTTTTTTCTCTTTATTACAAATAAAAATTAAAATAATTGTTATATATTCAATTGTAAGTCATACAATTCTTTTATTCAGGCATATGTATACAGGAACAATATATATTACTTAAGTGAATATGGAGAGAGTGCCAAACCTACTGCATTGACACAATCTGGTGAAGAAGGTGTCATATTTAACGGGATACCAGATTGGGTGTATGAAGGTACATTACTTTTTATTTCGCAAAACTTTCATATGTATGCTCATGTTGTGCCTTAAATTTCAATAAATATTTAAACTTTACAAATCATACAATAAACATTTACCTTCAAAAATTATATTTTCTTCTACACTGTTAGAATTTTCATTCTAAAATTATGGTAAAATCACCGGCAGCAGTCTTTCCATCCAATTAACCATAAGTTTACGACAAAGAACATTTTTGTTATATTTACTGTTTTGAAACCGTTTACAACTCACATGGTTTCAAAACCAGAAAAAAAATTTAATTGAACTTGGAGATGGTTTTGAAGCTTTATAGTGCTGTCATCTATGAGTAAATAGGAGTATCGTACTCTAATGGACCAGAGTCACAAATTGGTGAGTGCAGGATAATAGAAACTCTTCATTCTTGAAAGGAATGGAGGAAATTTAGTAGTATGAACAATGGGACTCGAACCCCAATTCTGCTGGTCATGAGATTTACAGATCAGCCGTATCGGCTATAATATGTACCCAACTGCAAGGAAAATTCTGGTTGTTTAACCGTATTAGGTGAAATCAGTTAATAAACCATTTTTCTCATAGTTAACAGTTTGAATTCCATCTAATTTATGTTTATTTGGCATTTTGTTAGAGTATGGTAAAATAACAATTAAGTAAATTTTTATTTAACATTTTAATCGAAAAATTTCTAACAGTGCATCCTACATAGAAAAAATTGTTGGAATTATTCGTACAAGAGTAAAAGATATTATTTTAGATTAATCTTTTTTTTAAAAAATAAATAAATAATCAATCATATTAAATAAACGTTTAGAAAAATGTAGAGTTAGTAGCATATTGTGCAAGATACTTTTATTAACATTACTAGTTTTTTCATTTATTTTATTTACATTTTATATAAGGAAAGATTAGAAAGTAATAAAAAGGTTTGAAACTGTAATATGACCATCTTCTTGATGTAACGTACCTCTCACCAAGTTTGCCTTCTTTCACGAATTGACATATTCGTTAATTACATAATAGACTCCTTTAACATATATTTTAACAATTCTTCCCAAAAATAAATTTCTTCCCAGAAATTTGTGCATTTCACAGATGGTAGATTGCTGTTTGAGTGTGGAAAAACAAAATGCTACTCGGAACCTGACAAATCACTCTGTTACGAGATATGAACAACATCAAATATATGATATTTGTATTGCATATTGTAACTTTAAGGTGTTTCTTATAACTGCTATTAGCTTCGAGCTTTTTCTTTTAGCTATCAAGCAATTTTCAGTCTCGATATCCTCAGGAATTATTTATTAGATTTTGATAACGGTATTGCTTTTTTCTTAATATTAATATACTAAAGTATCAATTTGAGACCCTTAATGCGTTTATTTTTTAACTTCATCTTTGAAAAGTATTCTAAAAATTTAAAATAAGGATGGTTAATGCGGATTTAACAAATAAAATTTTCTTTAAAAACTAAATAAATGCATAAAACTCTTTAATAAAGTAATTTTTACCTCGTAATAGCCTTTCAACAACTGTAAAGTTGGAACAGCTTCAATCTGAACAGGTTTTGTTTTTGCTTAACAGTATGTTTAAATAGATGATACTATTCATAATTTATGTTGGGATGATTGCGACCTAATATTAATGTTTCTTAATGTTAATTTTATTAAATGCAAAACTGAGACCTTAAATGCGTTTATTTTTCAGCTTCATCTAAAAATTTAAAATTAGGGCTTTTAATATGGAACAACCTGTTTATAGAGATATAATAAATAAAGAACGAAAGAGAATAACGCGCTTTAATAAAGCAATTTTTACTTCGTACTTTCAACAACTGTAAAATTGAAACAGCTTCAACCAAAATAGGTTTAGTTTTCACTTAACAAATATGTTTAGTTAGATGATACTAATTATGATTTATGTTTGAACGTTTGTGACTTTAAGTCCATTTTAACTCAGCCTACTTCTGAAACAAAAGAATTGTCCGAATTAAACGTCCTCTACTTCCAGAACTATATCTAGATTAAAAGGGTGAGTAATTGCTCCGTTATGAAATTCTATTAATCATAAGTCGTCCTTACCTAAATGACAGAGAAGTTTCTAAATAATGCATTCATCTCTTTCTCATCTAAGTTTTACGATAAATATTGGATACATCATCTGATTGCTTTCAGCTGTGGTCTAAAGACAGGCGATTTGAAGTAATCCTGTAGACACCATCATCATTTATATCAATTATGTAGACAACTAACAAGCTAGACTTATAAACGAAAGAGATCAAAGACGGATTCTGATGGATTTTTGAGATTGATTTATTTTTATTTTATGGTGAAGTGGAAGATGATTACTCTTCTTGCAGTTACCGTGATCGATGACAGCATTTACAAATTGCTGCTGTTTCTGTTTATTATGTGTAGTTTTTTTCCTCTCAAATAACTGGTTCTTAGGCTAAATTTTTCAACTACACTAAATAGTTAAATAATTATTTTTTTTTAAAAATTTGATATAGAAAAGTTGTGAGTTTCTCATAGACTTAGTTTCTCTAAATCTCTTAATATAATTAATCTTACAAAGTGGTTTAACAAACGTGTCCTTTTTTTTAAAATTAAGTTCTGATTGGCAAATTGAATGTTAATACGAATAATTAAAAGATGTATTGAAAGATCATATGTAATTAAATGATCAGTAATTAATACGCGATTTCGCCTTCTTCGCTCATAGGTAAAACTCATTTAAAATATTAAGAAGAAATGCAATTTTTTAATTTTGCAGCTCTAATTGCTTTAAACTATATGTTTAAACGATTTTAAAACAGTATAATTTTAATATTTGTTTAGATTTTGTGCAAAATAAACAATTTCCCAATACAGCAACTCCTTTTTTAAAAATATCCCCTGTTGCAATGTTAAAAACATTTTTGAAAATAGTTTAAATTTGTTTGCATTCATTAATGATAATATAAGGCATAGAATGTTTAAAAATTAAATAGTTTGTATTTAAATAATAAATTTTCTAACTGATTACGCTAAACCAGAAATAAAAATTACTGTACTTTTTCTAAATTCCATAGTTACGGAATCAGTTTAAAATGTTTTTAAGTACGTAGAATTCACTTTTGAGAAAAAATAAATGTAATTAAAGAACTATTTTTTTCGAAGACAGCATATTCGCATTCTTAATTTTTCCTCTTTATGCTACACCCAAAAGTCCTCTGACATAGAAATAAAAACTATGGAAATAAACAAACCATACTATGGAAATGAAAAAATTATATAAAACGGAAAAAAATTATAATACTTATTCTCTAAAATCCAGCATAATATAGTTATAAGTTATTTTATAGTTTGAAGGTCATTTTATAGTTATTAGTTGTTTTATAGTTATAATATAGTTTGGAGTTATTTTAGATATTTTGTGGAAAAGACCATTTTTATCTTAGAAATAAAAAATTAAAATCATTAACATATGATGCCATCTTTTTCAAAACACATGTCAACTTCATCATTAGCATATGATGTCCTCATTTTTATTAATATTTTATGTCATCTTTTTCATTAAAATTAGCAATCATCTTTTTAAAGACAGAGTTTAATTGTTTCAACACATCCTTGTTTGCACAGTTATTTCATTCTAATCTTAAGATCGTAAATTATTATGTTTCAATTCAGAGATTTAAAGCAGTAAATTTTAATATGCATTCTGAAATAAACTAGAATCTAAAAATCATAGAAAACTAATTCTTCTTACTTTAAGGTAAAATATCTCACATTCAAGTTGGCGTTTTTTAAGTTTCATAAAGTATAGTAAACGGTCAACAGCGAGTGCTTGTAGCCAATTGCTTGAAAATAATTAAGGTGTCTCAACGAGGCACCTATTCCATTGATACCGACCTTCCTCTCTATACATAATCTAGCAGAATTTTTATACTGTTGGAAAATGCTTCCCTGTATATTTTTTTACATAATTTTATAATTATTCACAGTACACTGTTAAAATTTTCATTCTTAAATTATGGTAAAATAACTGGCAGCTGTCTGTGCATCCGATTAACCGTAAAGTTTATGGTAAAGAACATTTCTTTCTTTTATGGTTTTGAAACCATTTACAACAAGTAGGTTTATAAAACTATGAAAACAAAACTATACTGTTTTTTAACCATTTACAACTGGCATTTTCCAAAAACGTTAAAAAAAATTTTTTATTGACATAGGAGCTCGCCTTTTCGTGAAGTAATGAGCATTTGAGAGTGCCGGACACTAAAAACTCTTCATGTGTTGAAGGGAATGGAGGAAATAGTGTGGTGTCAACACTAGGACTCGAACTCCAGTTTTGCCGGTCTTGTGAGTGACAGATAAGCTCGCTCGGCTACGATATGTACGCATTTGCAAAGAACTAAATAGCTTCATCAGGTGGTTCTAGTGGCTGTGATAAAATTCTGGTTGTTTAACCGTATTAGGTGAAAGCAGTTAATAAACAGTTTTTCTCAAACTTAATATTTTGATTACCATTTTATTTATGGTTATTCGACTGTTTTGATTCAATATGGTAAAATAACCATTCAATAATTTGCTATTTAACCATTTATTCCGAGAAATTTCTAACAGTGTTTACTGTGTGTTTCCATTGAAAATAACTCTACAAAACCTGTTTTACAGCAGAAATTTTCCATAGTAATAAAGCCCTTTGGTGGGGACCTAACGGAACTTATTTAGCATACGCTGCTTTTAACGATGAGAATGTAGAAGCAATGACGTATCCATGGTATGGATCATACGAAGACAGCACTAATGTTTATCCACAGACAATCAAACTCAGATATCCGAAAGTAAGTTTCTTTTACCTGAACAATGCATGTCATTTTGTTTACAGTTAATGTACTGTTTACAGTTAATGTTTACAGCACTGAACATTAATGTTTACAGTTAATGTTCAGTGCTGTTAATGAACAGTGAGCAAAGAAAGCTGACCACCCAGAATAACTTTTGATCTAATAATGGATCTTCCCGTTCTAGGACTCAATCTTAATGGTTTGAGGACCTAATCTAAAATATAGTAATTAATTGGAGCATACGATATTTTAAGTTATCGAATCAGTCACGAAAACGTGCTTTCTTTAAATAATCATACCTTTTTTTGACGGATTTGGATATCTGCCCCTCAAAATATCGGAGATAGCTGCTATCTGGAAAGTATGATACCAATATATTGGTTAAAAGAGCTCCAAAGTTTGGACCCCTTAATGTAAATTTTTTTGCGCATTTCACCATGTCTCGAGATCTTTTCTGGCGAATTGAAAAAGTTTTCTACGCAAATAAAAAATTCATTAATTCAAAGATAATTTCCTTGCAAAAAATAACTTTTAGTAAATATTTATTATTTTTTTATTATAGTAAAAAAATTGAATTTTAAGGTATGCAATTTTTATATCGGTTTAAAGTAAGTAATTTAATGGAAAAAGGCCAAAATTTGAACAAAATAGCTCCAGAAAAGTTGAATTTTTAAAAAAAAACGAAATTTTTTATTTATAAAAGTTCTATCATTAAAAAAATAACTCTCAAAATATTTAAAAGAGGCGTTTTAAAGAGTTTCGACCAGTTTATATTCATAAAAAATCTTCAAAAACGTATTATTAGCTCAATAAAAGCTCATGTCAAAATTTTTTTATGAGTTTTTGAGTCAGTAGCATTTCCAAGAAGAAATTCTGCTTAAAGATAGGAGTGCATATCGATTTTCACTTAAAATTGAACAACGAAATTCGAAATATCAATAAAAAAATTGTAAACGAAGCAATTCTGTTTACATAATACATCTTTTTATTTTTGGAACATGTTCAAATAAATTTTTCTTCTCTCATTTTGACAAAAAAAGATACCAGAGCCACTCATCGAACCCAATGATTTTTCTTATACTATTACTTTTTTGAATAAAATAATAATAAATGAAAAAAGAATTTTTTTTCAGATAAATTATGGATTTGAGTTCTATTAAAACTCAAGGTCTTTGATTCCCTTTAAAAAAACTCGAAACGCACTAGTTGACTTCAATTTGTTTACACAAACACAAGAAAAATTTGCATATGCAACCTACAAAGTACTGAAATTTTACTATAAACCAAAACAATTTTAATGACCAAATTTTCAATGAGGATGAATGGCCAAATGCCCAAAAATTACCAAAGATTCAATTTTATGTTTTAATTCCGAAAAATAATATATGTTTTTTTTTAATCAATATATGAATTATTACTTTTCAGCCCGGAAGACCAAATCCAAAAGCAAGTCTTTGGGTTGCTGATTTCAGCCAGCCATTTCCTGTTACAGAAGAGGTGATGCCTCCTCTAGAGTTCAAAGACCAGTAAGTATTGCATGAAACAGGTTGACGTGTTAAATTGTTAATCAAGTTCAGTGGATCGGAGTATACTGGTTGGTAGTGCTCTTGTGCTCTATTTTAGCCAGGTCGTCTTCTGATGAGTTTTGTCTCCGCCTTGTGAATTTGGATTCTGAGTTTCCAATCGCTAACAGACCTCCTCTGTTCATCGACTCACAGCGGTATTTTTTTCGTTCGTAACTCGAGGCCTTGTGAGAGTCTGTTTGCTTAGTCTTCATTAGATCACCCTCGTGCTGATGAGTTTTAATCCTCGTATTCGGTGAATGAAGTCTCAGAGGTCTATACGCTAAGTTAAACCTTAACATGTGTTGAAAAAACTGATTATTCATTTTCGATAGCTATCAAGGTATCAGGAAAAAGTCATATTTATTTAAATCGGGGTTATTAAGACTTATTCAGACTCAAAAATTCAAACTAAATTAATTGGAAAGATGTTTCGAGAAAACGCAAGAAAATATAAAACAGTTTCATTTTCAAGGTATTTGATTAAAACCGGCACTGACAAATCAAAAACCACCATATTAGTTTATTCCAAGTTTCTTCAATTTTGTGGTATCTTAACCTTCTTCGATTAGATTCTCAAATTAATTTCGTTTTTCCTTAAAATGCATTTTCTTTTATTTTTTTCCAGCTAAAAGCGATGAAGCTCATGTTTGTGTCTTCTAACATTATCACTATATCGTTTACTTAGGTTAAACTGTATCAACAAAATTAAAAGAATGTGATATAGTCGTGGAGTAACGATTAATGAAATTATTTTAAATCAGTCAAAATCTCATAAATGATAAGATTGGGAAATGAAATGAAGTAAATCTATTCAAAGCATTTCAATCTTTTCAAAAAGATGGTACTGTACTAAAACTATTAAACTGAATGATTATCTATCTCTTTCTACGAGAAGTGTGTCTCTTTTGACAGAGTAAGTATGCGATTCTCATTTGCATGGTTAGATATGAGTCGCTCACTTTTGTTACCACAGAACCGATGTGGTCCGTTCCTAATCTATATCCTATTCAACTCTATTCCTCACCCTACACAACCTATTTCGATGAACCATTTGACTATCGTGCATTGAACAGAATTTCATAATTTGAACAGAATAGGCAATTTTAATGCTTTTCGCTAGACCCTGCTAAAACAAACCTCTAACAAAACTGTATTAAGTGTATATCGTATCCAAATTAATAAATTTCATTTAAAACAAAAATCAAAGTATTAAACCAATATTATTTCATATTATTTCTGTAAAAAAGAGTAAGAGAACACAAAAACACCCTACAAGGGAACCCAACTTCTGCATTTCACTCAGTAGTTTTTTTTATTCAAATAAATATCTTGGATTTTTTTATACTTTTCAGAGAATATTATTTGACTGAAGTTCAGTGGATTGATGAAAAGCGTCTTCTTGCTATTTGGTTGAGACGTGTCCAAAATTCGTCCATCGTTAGTGTTTGCACTAGTGGAGACACTGGGTGGAAATGCCAAAAAGTAAGACCATTTAACTGCTTGAAACTGTATAAATATGTTCATCTTGACTTTGGAAAAGATGAAAATATAGTTTTCTACTTGAACTAATTTACAACTGTATCTGTGTATTGAACGGTGAACTAAAAATATTGTAAGAAAATAATATATTTGTCGTCCGCAATATTATACAAGGTGTTTGAAAACTATAAAAACTCTCAAATTACTCAAAAAAATGTGCATCAGATCCAATATCCAAAAAATCCCACTTTGAGATGTATTGAATGATATCAATTTCGCTCCCTTTTCCATCTTAGATGGGGTCAAAATTTAAGTCATCAGATTTTTTTAAATATAAAACTTATTCCCTCATTATAATATTTTTTCTTTTAATTTTATTCGGAATTTAATTTAAAATTTTGAAATTTAATACTCTTATTCCCTGAGTTAAATTTTCAAAAACAAAAAACAATTATATTTGTTTAAAAGTTGATAAGTGAAATGTTAAATTTAAAACCAAATCCAATTAAAACATTTACTTTTTTGTAGCATATCCAAGAAGATACGAGCATTGGTTGGGTAGACATGTATGAAGCTCCGGTGTTTTCCAATAATAAACGCTACTACTTCCTAAGACTACCCGTGGCAGATGGTAAGGCTGGCCGCTTTAGACATGTGGCTTCATTCGACTTCAACGTAAGTACTAAAATTAAATCTTAAATGAGTTTAAAAGAAAACAGCAAATGAAACTAATAAATTTTCTGTTTGCAATAGTCAGTTGATTTTCTCTATCAATAGCATCAGCACTTCAGTTAGGTAAAAATTTGCAATGTAGCAATGCACATTTGTTTTAATAATAAATATTATTAACAGAGATGTGCCTATAAGACGAAACTATATTGTTACAAATTTGCAAATATGTGCATATTTCAGACGTGCCCTAAATAAACAGCTCGATTAGAAAATTTGCAAGAAAGTCGCGTAATGTTAACGTAATTTAAAGAGAAACTAACGCATAATGTATTCCTTATAAAAGACTCGATTTGGCAACATATTTGCTGACTTGGCGTTAATTTTGGCGACGAAATGATAGTTCTGGAATCCTCGAGTTTCAAGACGATAGGACTAGCAATTAAAAAGTTATGCAAGAATCGTCTAGAAACGTGTGGAAAAATTCTGCGTTTCGTCGCATTATGTAGTGTATCTAATAGTAATGCGAAAATAGTAGCGTGTCTAGCAGCGAAAAAGTAGTAGAGATATTAGTCTGCTTGTAAAAAAAATCGTGCTTTGAGTAGCGAATCTCTAGTGGTGCATTGATCCGTATGAGGTTCCAAAACCTGTGTTTTGTTGTGTACTACAGTGCTATTTGAATCGTAATTGAGTGTTAAGAAATAGCTGAATTTTCTAGAAGATTCTGCTAACAAATTTTGTCAACTAAATAATTATTAACATTATCTGATTGATAGCAAATATTAATTCTGCTAAAATAATAAGAACTGTCTTAATCATCTCCAAGCAAATGCATCTCTGTGCTCGGTACTACATAAAAAAAAAATTTACGTTAATTTTAAAAGTTAAAAATCCAAAGTGTCCCTCACAAATCGTGACGACTTTTAGATAATATGAGTAAAAAAGTTCTAGAGAATAATGTTTAACCCTGAGAGATATGTTGGTTTTATTGCTCTCTCTAATGAAACATTTTCAAATTGCTTAAATCATTGCTTTCAAATTGCTTATAAATATGCAATTAATCTCTTTTACACTGAGAAATTAAATTATTTTTGTACGATAAGCTATTTTCTGAAATAAGTATGATTAAGCGAATAATTTTGAACCCCACAAATGTGTTTTTACGATACAAAATAAATAATTAAATTGCCTGTGTTTATAATGCAAGAAAATTTAGATAGCATAACGGCTTTCAAGTTTCATTATTAGGCTAATTAATCTCTATCCTTTGCGCCAAGTATTTCTTTATTGATTGAGGAGTTGTATATCTTTTTGCTAATCAAAATATTTTATTTAATCATACTTATACTGAAAACTATTTTTATGTATAACTATTTTAGTGCGCAAATCCAGATGATGGTTTTGTAACTAAATGCTCCATTTCTTTATCTAAATGTTTAACAATATGTATGGTAAACATTATCTGCTCTGTCATATTAGATACAGTATGACATAATAGGGTTATATATTTCTGCTCGTAAATTTTCTTCTTTATCATAATCTGTGATGCGTTTTCTGCAGAGTGGCCGAAAAGATTTTTTGACTCATGGCAGCTATGACATCACAAAAATTTTGGCTTATCTGGAAGAAGATCATTCTGTGTGAGAATTTCTCTTTCGCATGATTGGCTATTATTTTTCGTAATATTATCTTAGTATGCTTAAAAAATTGCATGCTGGTATTATTTTCTTCATATACGCAGCTATAATATTAGTTTAGTACATATGAAAATGTGGCACGCAAATTAGAGTCTAAAAATATGATGTTTATGAAAAGCATGAATATTCTAATTAGAGTTAATGTCATATTGAGTTAAATTAGGTAGTCTGAGCTATACTTTATTCTACTTTTCAGTTCAGTGGCACTTTAAGCACATTTTTAGCTTTTATTTTCTTTATTTTATCTACTATTATTTTAACGTGTTTCTTTACATATAAAGTTAAACTTTTGTCAAATTTGGGTTTTAAAAGTTTTCTTTTGTATTCAAAATGAAAAAAATAACGTGTAAATTGTTTTGTTAAAGCTTGAAAGTTCAACGAAACGTGTTTGTGAAAAAAAAATCTCAAAGTTAGCCATTTTAGAATAGGACGAATAAAAACAACCGATTTTTTTTAAGCATTATAATCACCTCTTAAATATTGTTGTGTTAAATCAATTTACAGAGGGAAAAAAAAACAGTAGTTAAATAAATGTACCTATTTAGTGTCCATTAATTATTAAAATCAGAAATACATGAAATAATTAGAAAATAATTTATTATTTTAAATTACATTTGAGAAATTTTAAGACATCAGAATAGATGTTTGCGGAATAAAGGTTGTAGATATTTTTCAGAATTATTAACAACATATTTCAGCAAATGATATTGTTCTCAGGAAAAAATTGCAAACTTAAATAACTTTTGTAAATTAACTATAGGTAGCACGAAAGAAGCCGGAATTTTAAATTACAAATCTGTTGCACATATTTTCTTAAAAATTAATATTTAAAAGTTTGAAATGTTTTGATCCAATTTAGGTAATAACATACGAAAAGTCATCGATTTCTTGCAGCTTTACTATCCTTAAATTGTGATAAACCATGCCTGTCTAAATTATTCTGCCCTTTCCCAAAATTAAATAAAATTCAGCTATAAGCTTAAACAATTTAATTTGATTCTACTTACGCATAATTTATTATTTTACTTGAAATGTTGAGTACATTAGCTGAATTAATAATGGTTTTCATGTTTTATATATGTAAGCAATTGAACATTCAAAATAAACTTACAAATCAGTTAATTCAAAGTCTCACTCACTATTTCTGTCTATAGAATATTTCCTTATGCTTGCCTATAATGCTGGAAAAAAAAGTTGCCTTTTAATTGTAGGTATTATATGACAACACTTCTTGGAATGCCAGAACAACGTCACTTGTATGCAGTTAAGGATTTGACCTCCAAGCGACCTCGTGAACAAAAATGCCTTACTTGCGATTCAGAGGAAGACTGCCTATACTACAATGCCTTGTTTAGTACCGGCGGCCATTATTTTGTATTAGAATGCTTAGGTCCTGGTGTACCTAGAATAGAACTTCGCGAAACTCTCACTAATCAATTAGGTAAGTACAGGTTTGAAACATCCATTGAAATGTTAGTAAATTGTAATCTAGGAACTATTTAGATCTAACTTACAATAAAATTCGTGTTAATAATTTTGAAGTTATAAGGGTTTTCTTCTTTCATTAAGTTCATAATTTTGACGTTATAAGGGGCAATTCATGAATGCGTGTAAAGCATTTTCATGCATAAAAACTCCCTCAAGTTTTAAACTATAAATTCTATTACTTGTATTTAATCTCATTCGATTCGGAGTCAAGAAGAAATACGTTCTACGTATTGCTTCTTTTTTTTACATAGCAAAGCTAGATGCGTTAAAAGGTACAAAATTGTAATTTTTGTTCAAAAAACGCTTATAGCATCATAACTGTTAGTGCGTTAATCTCATTCAATTTAGCGTAAACAGTATATATCGGAAACAATGTCGTACTAGTCTGTCTGAAATTTATTTAGCGCTCTCCTTTAAATCCTTCCAATTTCTGCGAAAAAAATTAGGAAGCGTTCAGAGATAGTAGAGGAGTTTTACGTATAATTAAAATAACGAAGCAAAACTTTTCATGAAAGAAATCTTGGTTATTAATTTTTCCGTAAAAAAAAAACTTTAATTTTACCGGACTATAAGAAATAAATAAATCATTGTTTATATTATATTTATCTGCTAATAATAATCTAAGAAAGGAAAACATGAAAAATCTCAACAATCGCCGAAACATTTGAAATAGTTCATCAATCATTGCATTTGAGTTTTAGAGTATCATGTCTCGTAGATGCTTTAAACTTTTTTTCATTTATTCATGAGTTAAAAAATTGTTTTGCCTCTGTGGCAAAAATTGAACAAAATTAAAATATCTCACTAACAATAGATTTCTTCCTTGCTAAAAAAAACGAAAAATGTTGCAAACACCTATTTGCAAAACTGTTATATTGTTTATCGCACTTATAGGTTGTGACAAAGAAATTAATAAATATGGAATTCTAATATCACTAGAAGAATATTAAATGCGTTAAAGAATAATTTAAAGTAATGTGAATTTTGAAAAAAAAAATACTTTAATAAAAACTATCAAAGAAATGATGAAAATATCCAGAATTCAAGACCTGCGCGTAAGATAATACCTTATAAAAGATAGAACCTTACACAAAAAAGATAACACCTTATACAAAATAGAACCTTAAGAGGTCGTAGGTTCGATCCTCGCCGGCCGAAGACTCCCCGTGTAGTAAATGGTGACTGATGCACGTTAAATCTGTCGAGTCTCAAAGTCCTCCATGTTCCCACAACAAATCAATACCTCTGGGGGTACTGATCCAGGAGTTTCCTTGTCTTCTGGATTGGTTCAAAATTACAAGGCTACGGAGTTGAACGTAAGTAGTCGTAAGCCCATAAAATTGGGTCGGCTGTTCAACGACGGTTATAAAATAAAATAAAATACCTTATACGAAATCTGATTATGGTAAAAAGAAAAATCTTAAATTATTTCATGTCCTAGTAAAATGGGTAATGGGTATTATGGTATAAATTTTAGATTCTAAAATTGCGGATTTAATTAACTAGAAAATGAGATTTATAAGATGTGCAATACATTTTGAGGAAGAAACTTCAAGTACAATAGAAAATACTTTTTATGTCTAAGTATTGATTTTAAAGCGATCAATATAATATAAAAATTTCTTACATATGTTTTCGTTTCAGTTGAAGTTTTGGATACCAATAGTGATTTGACTGAAGCTTTAGAAGAAAGAGCCCTACCTCAACTGGAGACTTTTAAAGTGCCTTTAAAAGGAGGATATGGTGAGCTTCGAGCATACTATAATAATAAGTATGAGTAATTAACAAGTCCTGAAAGTCACCCCAGTACTCAATTAAAATAAAAAATAAAAATTCTATTAATTTTTAGTACTTAATTTATAAATAATCGAAAAAAATCAAATTATGTTTCATGAATATTTTTTTATCACAATAGAATGAGTAGTGTACGCATAATATCAATATTTAATTTTGAAGAATTTACAATTCAATACTTTATTTGCAAATTTAAATATTAAATATTGAAAGGAGAAATTGATTATTTCTCTAACACTAACAATATAAAAAATTGTTAAACTGAAAATTTGAGTCTACGAAGATTAAAATAAAATGAATTAGTTAACTATAATTTCAGTCCAAGCTATCTAAAAATTGATACGATTTTTTTAGAAGTTTTGCTAACACATGAGTTTTAAAGAATTAGATTTTTTGAGAGAATTAAATACTTTTATACTAATCTTCATGATATTTTTTTCAGAAGCAAGTGTGCGACTTTATTTACCTCCGCCTTTACGAGAAAATGAAATAATCAAATATCCACTTATTCTTCATGTGTAAGTATAAAAATGTCTTACTTAACGATCGAAACTCAAATTTTTTTTAACATTTTCGCCTTAAAGTAACTCAGTTTAAATTACGAATGTTTTTTTTTACTTCTACGTAACAAAACAATTTTAATGCGACAAGTCACTTTAACCTTTATTATTTAATGAAATATTTTAAACTTCCAAAATATAAATTTTTTATGTGAATTAGGTGTTTTTTATGACAGGTTTGGGTACAACAGAATTGAAAATTCAATTTCTCTCACATGTTTCTTTGCTTGAAAATATCATTGATTTGTTTTCAAATGCCAGTATCTTTTAAATTGAACATAAGATTTTTTGATGCACATAATATATGTGAATCAGAAACATAAGAAAAATGTTTCACATATATAAAAAGCCGCTTAAAACTTATCTGTAATGGACGTTCTAATTTGATGAATTTTTAACTCTTTTCAAAAAATACTTACTAAAGCGTGTATTATAATACAACAATTCCCCCTTTCTAAACTATATTAAAATTTTAAAATTACTCCTTCAAAAATACTTCGTATGTGCAAAGCCGTTTCAAAATATTTCGACAATCTATCTTAGGTATATCCTAGAACGTTAATAAAATCTACCCTTTTACAATCATCGTAGAAAAAAAAATTATAATTTACGCTATTAAAATTGCAAATACGATTTGAATTATCTCAAGAGCTATGATGTTTTGTGCTGTCATTAATTGTCTAAATTTGCAAACACGTTTTAAATTATGTTTAAGAGTTTGATTTTGCACTGCCATCTATCTATTAGATAACTGACTAATATGCAAAACAAAAATATCATAATATATCAATAAATATGTTATAAATTTTTCTACATATGATTTGTTTTGAAATATTTCGACAAGCTATTTTAGTTATTTCCTAGAACGTTAACAAAATCTACCCTTTTGCAATCATAGAAAAAAAATTATAATTTAAGCTTTTAAAATTACAAAGCGCTTTGAATTATTTCAAGATCTATGTTTTGTCTCAGTTGTTTAAAATTACAAAAAGAAAAAAACGTTTTGAATTATTTCAAAAGTTTTTAAGTTTTGTGCCACCATCTATCTATTAGATAACAGACTAATATCTTAAACAAAGAAATCAATGTTTATAAACAGTGTATGGAGGTTATAAATAACACAAAATTATATGAAAAGTAATTTTGTTCTTTGGACAAAAATACGCTTACACTTTGCATATGAGTTGTATATTTCAAAATTATGTTCTACTTTCCTTCCTTTTTACCGGAATTTTAATTCGTTTCCATGAAACTCGACCTCATGAGTCTATGTCCTACACGATATACGCCACAAAAACGACAATAGAATGTATGAATATCTGCTATACTTTAATAATTTGGAGCAAAATATATCTTTTCTGATTAATTGCGTTATCTATAGGAAAAATTAAACAGTTCGCAAACAAGACATCAGCAGCAAACGTCTCCGAAATGAATTATTTCCTAATTACAAAAGAGATTTCTTGTGCATGTGTGAGGATACGCTGCATATTTTTACTATAACTGTCTCAACTCTATCAAAAAGGCTTAATTTTCTTTGGATCTTTCATCTTGCGATGTAAAAGAAACTTGGAGAATTTAATAGCTTGTAGTAACTTTCACTGATAAAGGAAAATTTTCTTCTTCTTTCAGCTGTGGTAGTCCGGGAAATCAATTGGTTACAGAAAAGTTCCAGGTTCATTGGGGAAGCTATTTGTCAAGTCATAAGAATTACATTTATGCTCATATAGATGCTCGGGGAAGTGGTTACCAGGGAGAAAAGAGAGTTCAGGAATTATTTCGAAGACTCGGAAATGTCGAAGTTGAAGATCAACTTGCAGTTATCAGGTGAAATTTTTTCATTTTTTATTATATCTTTTTTCCTTCCTTTCATTGATTTTTCAAATAAATGTATGCTCTGAAACTTTAGAAAAACATTAAATATTAATATTAAATATTTCTTAAAAAAATAAATAAATTTAAACTAATTTTAAAAAAAACTCGACATTGCTCTAATTGATTGATAACAAAGAATCAAACAAACCAATTATTTTAATTAATGTTAATTGGGATGTCTGTATGGTGAACTTTCTTGTTTTTTTATAATGAAATGCTTGTTGAGTCAAGTAAGCTAAAAATCTCTTTTATTTTTCCTTAACTATTATGTTAAACAATAATGGGTCCAGATTTCGTTGCAATAGTACTGATATATTTATAATTTTAACTTAATTTTAAACTTTAAATGTGGGACGTCATATAGATTATGTAGGATATTATACTGCATACATAATTATAAATGAAGGTGAATTATTTTGGAAATCCAGAGAAAAAAATACAAATTCGTCTAATGAATAATTCAAATTTTGACATTTCTTACATTTAAGTGATATAAATTACCTTTAAAAAGAACCTTGTTTAAGTATATGAAAGTAAAGTAATGCATATCAGCCTCTTAGATAATAGAAAAGGATTTTTTAAACATTTTAATTATTACATATTAAATAAAATATATAATTTGCTGGATTAACAATAAGTTCTAACAATGATTTTAGTATTGGAATTGGAAAAATTTCATTGAAATGTGGTTATTAAAAACAAAAATAAGATATTTAAACAACTTAATATGTCTCAATGTATTGTTTGAAGAAAGGTAAATTCTACTCATGTGTTTAAAAAGTAAGAAGAAACTAATTTAAGTACAGGTAGTCAAGGAAATTCAAACAACAGCTCTTAATAGGAATTTAAAAAGCGCATGTCATAAATCTTATATAATTTATTTTCAAAATTAAGTTTTATGCTTTGACCTGTATAATATAAAAAAATATTCTTAGATGCATATTATTTAGATAAAAATTAAGTTTTACTGTTTGGATAGATTTTTTTTCATACAAAAAAAAAACTCGATATCTGTCAGCAAGTATAAGACAGTATCTGTCAGCAATAATAATTATTGCGAGCACCCTCCTAATTTACTGCAAAGAATAATTTTGTGAAAAACTTGTTTTTATATTTACAGGTACCTCTTGTCTGAGAAAGGTTATATCGATACAGAGAAAATAGCGGTTTGGGGATGGTCATATGGTGGATATACGGCCGTATCTGTTCTAGCAACAGAAAATGATATTTTCACCTGCGGCATATCGGTGGCACCCATCACAAATTGGCTGTATTATGGTTAGTATAACATATTTAAATATACATTAACTTTTAAAAACTTTTAGTTTTAAAATTACAAGAGTATATTGTCCTTAATAAGGAGATACCGTCTCATAAAATAACTATAATAATGAATTTAAGTTGAAATTATATCAATTAAGTTCAGTGTTCTTGTAATTATAGCTCAAGTATAGATCCCATAGTTATAGTTTTTATAATTATAGTTCTTGTAATTATAGTACAGTGTTATTCTTAAAATTATCAAAACTTATTTGTTTTTTAAAATAATTGCAATTGAAAGTATGTTAAATTTACGACTCTTTTAATATTCGATTTCTCAGGAACTGTTCAACCGACTTCACTCAAATTTCGCATTTTGCCATGTAAACTTATTAACCTCAAAATTAAGCATAAAAAATATTATGCCTTACGATTCAAATCTTTTCCTACTTTATTTAAATAAAATAATAAAAAAATAATAAATATTAACTAAAATTTATCTTTTGAAAGGATAACCTTTGGATAAAATTATCTAATTGTATGCTAAAAATTTTAATATTATAATTTTATGCAAATTTTATAATTGTATTCAAACATTTTTAAATTTGCTTAAAAAGTTCTCGAGAAAAAGCCGAAAACGAAAAAAACTGTAATTAACAGTATGATGCCCAAACTTTGAATAGCTTATCTGACCAAACTGTAGGGACCACATTTCCCTGATGGTGGCTGGATAATTTGGTGTTCAGAAATCCGAATCCGTCTCAAGAAAGATATATTTATTCAGAGAAAGTGCGTTTTGTGCCAGTTTTCGTAAATTTAACTATCGTCTGAACCAAGTTATTAGCATATTTGAGGTCATCCCCTCGAACCATTGAGATTGAGTCCTAGAACGTGAAGATTCGATAATTAGATCAAAAATTATTCTGTATGGTCCATTTTTTGTGCACTGTATTTCGGAAATCTCTACCAATTTGCTAAAGATGGCATGCAGGTTAAGATTAGCGTATTGGTAGTGCGTGTCGGTAAAGGCGTCTTTCCCACCACTGTTACGCTTAATAGATGTGTGTAATTTTTGATATGTTAGGAATATATTATATGCATATTTTATAGATTCAGTATACTCAGAAAGATATATGCAAAGTCCAAAACCTGAAGACAACTATATTGGCTACGAAAAGTCTGATGTTTCCATAAGAGCAGAAAATGTGAAAGGGAAAAAATTTCTTCTCATTCATGGGACAGCAGATGGTAAATAATTTTTAAAATAAAATTTTCTCCCAGCTTCTCTGTAACATTTTATCTCTTCTAATAAAATGTGCATAATAATCATAAAATAAAACTTATTAATATTATTAATTAATGTAGTAATCAATGATATTAATAAGCCTCAATATACTTGTGTATATATATATGTATATATATATATATGTATATATGTATATGTATGTATATATATGTATATAT